TTGATGTGTGTCTGACCTTGATGTGAACAAGGATAAAAAATGAAGCAACAAGAAGCTTTTTTGCTGCTTCTAGGCCTTGCGGTTTAAACGTAGCATAAGCATTTTTGCAATGCAGGGATAATTTTCCTAACATTCCTGCCTTTTGTTGTGGGGATCAACAGTCACAAAATGCTGTTCTTGGGCTAGCGTTGGAGGTTTCTGACATAGAAATCAATGGACAATGAATGGAAGCCAATACAAAGTTCTTGTTTTGACAGCAGAATTTCCCATGGGTGTGTATGTGGTGATACCTGGAGTGTGTTTCCCCCAAAGCAACAGCAATGCGACAGATACCATGGGTGGTTTCCATGTCCCCGTGTTGAGCTGCTGTCTTCAGCTGGTCATAAAGGCCCAGAACCAGAGGCATCAGGCTCAGCAGAGCATCAATGAACCTGCACACAAGAGTATTGGGTCACGCTGCTGATACCTGAAGGCTGCCTACGATCCTCCTCCATTCTCACCTCTGGCAATCCGGCTGTGAGACGGCAGTAACTATAGTCTCCACGGCAGTGTCGAACAGCCCTGGGTCAGACAGCACTGTGAAACAGTCCTGGACCAGTTCCTGACTTTCCCCTAGTGGCACATCCAGACCCACCCAGCTAGAAAAGCAGCGGAGAACTTTCTCCTTCACCTGAACAGACGAGTCCTGGCTTTGTAGGAGCTGTCGGAGCATGCCGCACACCACAGCCCACTCCCCGGCTAAAGCTTCCCTCAGCTGGGCACGACGAGCTTGGGCCAGGCGGCCACTTTGGAACTCCTCTGGAAGTACAGTGAGGAGCTCCAGGAGAGCAAGACAATGTGCATGGGGGTCCGGAGATGGTTTTGCACCAGGGCTTTCTTCCGAATTTGGTTTCTGAGGTTGGAATGCCCGCACCAAGTCTGCCACTGGCTTGGACCAGGCTTGAGGGATTAAGTTCAGAGCCATTGAGGCAAGCGCCACACACAAACGAGTCAGCACCATTTTAGGGCCAGAGGAGAAGTGTAAGATATGAGAAAGAAGCTGTATCCTGAGGTCCTCATGCTGTTCTTCAGGGAGGTCCCCCCAGTGACGGCAGATCTTAATGTGAAGGGTGCTGGCACCAAAAAACTGAACCTCCGGGATCTATGAAGACACAAATTTGGAGGAAAACTAATTAGGACTCAGCACAAGATTCATTTCTAATGAACATTTCAAGGTTTTCAGGTCTTGACTTCTTGTCCCAAACAAAATACTGAAGTTTGTCAAAATAGATGTGTCACTGATTTCCATTCAAAGCTCAGATAACAAAGCAGAACATCTTTCATTTTCAGTCTCAGTCTCTAGCAACATAATTTCTAGGTTTACCTCTGACTTTTAAAGGAATAG